CCTTGTGCTGTGTGCATGCATGAAGTGCAGAGAAGAGCACTGGATTAGGTTTTGCTGTTTTTATAAGACAGACAGTTACGGGATTTGTCAGAAAATGTTTTGCTTGATGAATAATCAGTGATAACCGTTACAGTTATCAGTGTCAGCCTTTTAAGGAACACTGACAATTAAAGCCATTCTTATATTTCATATTTTCTGTATTATGTATGATGCTCAGGAACATTGTCTAACTGAGCTGAATATGACTCAAAAGGAATATTTCTAGTTCAGCTATATATTCCTAGCATTGGCGTTTCTTCCTTAGTTAAGGATGCATTGTTTCTCTTCAAAGCATTTTATAGAGAACACTAAAATTGCTGTCCCTCCTTAACTAAGTTTGATTCTCCTACTTTCTGGATGCTATGTTGGCGTCTGATAATATTATCATGTTTACCTTAACATTATATTATTCACAGAAATGCATTCTCCCCTGACCCTTTTCTGTGATCCTCACTGTAGTAGTTAAAGACTAACAAGATGGCTTAATAGGTGATGAGCTTTCGTGGGTCAGACCCACTTCCTCAGATCAAATAGTGGAAGAAAATAGTCATAACCATATATACCAAAGGATACAATTAAAAGAAAATGAACACATATGAAAAAGACAAATCAAATTTCAGAACAGAAGGGGGGTGGAGGGTAGAGAAAGGGGGGAGGTAAATGTCTGTGAGCTAATGATATTAGAGGTGATAATTGGGGAAGCTATCTTTGTAATGGGTAAGATAATTAGCATCTTTATTCAAAGTTGAGTGTAAAGTGTCGAATTTAAGCATGAATGACAGTTCAGAGGATTCTCTTTGAAGTGAAGTCTTAAAAGGTCTTTGAAGCAGGATGCAGGTAATCAAGTCGTTGAGACAATGTCCTTTCTGGTTGAAATGGCAAGAAACTGTTTTTTCTTTGTGATCCTGTCTGATATCTGTTTTGTGAGCATTGATTCTTTGGTGAAGTGTCTGAGATGTTTGTCCAATGTACATAGCAGTAGTAGTAGTAGTTCAGGACAGTGATGTAGTAAATTCAGGATTCACTGGTATGGGATCCTGACAGGTGGTCTACTCTCTTAGTGATGATAAATGTTTGGCTGTGTGCATTTTTGTATGCTCCCTCAGTACATCATGTCAGCTCTGTGCAGGTAGCTAACATCACAGACTTCACAAGAACTCCCAAAGACCACGGACTCAAATAAGTTATGAAGAGATCCAACTCAGGTTTATTGTCAAAGTACATTAATAATCGTCAGTAGCCAGATGGCCTCTGAGCCCCTACGTATTTATATTCATGACAATGGACATAGCTCAATTGGTAGTATTGATTTCAATATTGCCCCTTATGCTGGCCAAAGAATTAAATCGAGTTACTCCAGTATTTATAGACAAAAATGAACAATCTATGATACACACCGTACATATCTTCTTATGCATTAGTGACCTCGCCTTGTACTTTCCTCCAAAGCATTCACTACCCGTTGGTATGCTTTCACTCTTGTTGTTTCAAACTATTTTATCATGTACTCAGCTGAGTGTCCCTACACTGTCTTGATGGAATGTATTTACACACTTCATGTGCTTTTATCAGTGCTAGCAATTCTATTGCCGAGAAACCCTAATTTACACTTATGATGTGGCCTATTACTCATAGTGTAATTCTTGCTCACTTTGGTTCAAGCACCAGGCCCATGCTGTAGGCGCTTTCTTTCTCCTACACTTACTTTCCTTTTAATTCCTTTTCTCAGAATGTCTCAAGTTCATAGTGCTACAAACCACATCAAGGAGCGTTTGAGGTGTGTGAAAGACATGATCCCTAGTCCTCTGCTCTTATCACTAGACCCGCTACTGGCAAATAGGGCATTTTACACTGTAACTTGCACTTGTAAGTGAATACTATTGGAAAGGCAAATGTGTAACACTTGTATAATAAGTGTGTAAAGCTAGATGACTACTGTAAGGCAAATAACTAATGACCCAGTTATAAGCTTTGGTCCTGCTTTGGGTAGGGGGCTGGACTTGATGACCTACTGAGGTCTCTTCCAGCTCTATGATTCTAAGCTTAGTATAAGCCAATTTTGACACAGTTTAACATGTAACATAGTTAATGTAATGTAGTCTTGTGAGACTTTTGCTGAAGCCCTAATTGAGACAGATGCAAAGAAATATAGTATATTTGAGTCCAAATGTCCTCTTTCTAACATAAGGAACAGCAGACTAAGGAAGAAATTACTGCCATGTTAGCCTGTAACTGAACAAACTTAAAAAACAACAAATAGTCGTGCAGTACCAAAGAGACAAACAGAAAATGTAGATGAATGAAGTGGGTTGTGACCACAAAAGCTTATGATACCATCTACATTTTTTTGTTGGCAAGATAAAGTTAGAAAATTAGTTAGAAACTAAGGCCCAGCATTTTAAAGGTATTTAGGCATTGCTGTGCTTAACATTGCAATGCCTGACTGATCTAGGACACTCAGTGGATTTGGTCTAGTAAGTGCCTACATCACTTTTGAAAATCATAGAATCATAGAATACTGAATCATAGGATACTAAAATTCAAGAGTTTATCAACTCCAGTCCCCTGTCCTCATGGCAGGACCAAGCATTGTCTAGATCATCCCTGACAGATGTCTGTCTAACCTGCTGTTAAATATCTCCAGAGATGGAGATTCCACAACCTCCGGAGGCAATTTATTCCAGTGTTTAACCACCCTGACAGTTAGGAAGTTTTTCCTAATGTCCCACCTAGACCTTCCTTGCTGCAGTTTCAGCCTATTGCTTCTTGTCTTATCAGAGACCAAGGAGACACATTTTCTTTCTCTTCCTTGTGACACCTTTTTAGATACTTGAAAAACACTATCATGTCCTCTCTCAGTCTTCTCTTTTCTAAACTAAACCAGCCCAATTCTCCCAGTCTTCCCTCATAGCTCATATTTTCTAGAACTTTAATAATTTTTGTTGCTCTTCTCTGGACTTTCTCCAATTTCTCCACATCTTTCTTGAAAAGCAGTGCCCAGAACTGTACACAGTACTCCAATTGAGGCCTAATCAGTGCAGAGTAGAGCGAAAGAATGACTTCTCGTGTCTTGCTCACAATACTCCTTAATGCAAGTTAATGCATCCCAGAAGCTAGTTAGGTATTTTGCTGTGCTCAGCATTGAAACATCTAACTGATTTAGAGCAACAGATGGGTGCCCCTGTTCTCCACAGAAAAGAGTCTTTGACCACCACTGTCCTGCGAGAAAGAAACATAGGGTGGTGGTGGTCAGAGACTCCCTTCTGAAGAGGACAGAGACACCCATCTGTTGCCCTGAATCAGTCGGATGTTGCAATGCTGAGCAGAGCACAACACCTACATAGCTTTTAAAACCTAGGCCTAAGTTATAAATCTGACCCTTTTGTAGAGATTTCTCCTGATAGTTACCTGCACACATTCCTCTATACCTTCCACATTGTAGAGATACACACCTTTACCCAGTTCCTAGGCTCAAGGTGCAACCTTGTTAATTTACACACCCACCCTTACCCAATTCCTAGGGCTCAGGGCGCATCTTCCTGTCGGTTGGCAGGATCTTTAGCCACTGAAAGTGCCTCACACAGTAATGTCCTTATCCTCTATTTATTGACAATTCCTAAACAAGCAGAATACATATGCTAAACACACAGTGTCATGCTCACCAATCCTGGTACACTCAAGCAGACTTCCCCTGTTGGCCAGGCAAGATCAGTCTCTCTGGATCTTAGCTGCTGAATGTCATGTTCTGGTCTTAGGCGGTGTCTCAAAGGTGAGTTCTTCTTCCAGGTCTTCCCCCTTTTCCTTGGTGTTCCTTGTCTCCATTTGGTCTTCTTCCAGCCTTTTGCTTCTTTCCTTCTGCTTCTGTTACTTCTGAGCTTCTTCCTGGTCTCCTTCTTGGACCCCAGTTTATATAATGAAACCTAAGTCTTGCTTAGCTATACCTTAACCAATTATTTTAGTATAATTTTACTAACCAATCATAACAAAATTACCTAACCAATCATACCCCACCACCTTAATTAATTTACACCTCGCAAAATTAATTATACGGGAGTCAGAAACAGTTACAAACCAGACAGAGATCATACAAACAAACAATAGAAAAAGTAAGGATACTTAACCATAGAGTGTGGATTCTACAACATTCTCTATTGATAAGCAGTTTCTAGCCAGACAGAATGGTTTTACTTAAGTTTTCTTTACCCATCTTGAGATCTGTTTCTTCATTTGGTGACAGTGGGAGAGCTATCAGGACAAAATCCCCTTCTCACAACTTGATGTGACACTATTTTAATACAAAATAGGTGGAATAAAACCTAAGGTAGGGGTAAGGGTTATTTTGAGGGAAGGGTTTTATCTCAAAATAACCCTGTTTTTTTCTTTCAAAATAGCGCTATTTCAAAATAGCGCCATTACACAATTATGCAAATGAAGCACGGGATATTTAAATCCCCACTTCATTTGCAATTTCAGGTGTCTGCATTTGCATTCCTCTCTTGAGAGAGGAATGAAATGTAGACATACCCTTAGAGAGAAGCTGTCACCCCCATGCTTCCAGAATCTCTTATTTATCTCATATTCTGTGGTCATTTAGAACTATATCCCTAAAGGGGTTGATTCTGCCTCTAATTCTGATTGATTTCAATGGGAGTTCTTGGTATGCTGGGGGAAGGAGAGACAGAAAGAGGCATCTGGTATTGTTCTCTTCAGCCCATTTGGTACAAATGGGTTTGGCAACTAGTTTTTCTCATTACAAAATAGGCTCCTTAGACGCATCACTTTGAATCTCTCTCAAAATGCTGTGAATGCCAAAAAAGGTCCTCTGATGTCTTATTTTTTTCTTTACTATTCTTTTATTTTAGTGTGTTTTTTATTTACTGTGAAAACATAACAAATTAAACTAAGTATGGAAAAATAACACCAAAAATGTTGATCTTTTTTTTGGATGTTTCTTATAATAGGTGCCTTGCAAAATCCTGGCAATTCTCCTGCATTTCTTCTTCCTAAGTGCTTTTGCTTGGATGCTTGTGGAAGGATTTCATCTCTACAGCATGGTGATCAAAGTGTTTGGGTCAGAAGAGAGCAAGCATTTATACTACTATGGGATTGGATGGGGTAAGTGTTTGTTTAATAACAATCTCCTTCTTATCTCTTTTAAACTTGCAAGAAGAGCTCATGTGTGAATCCTGGGCATCAAATTTTGTATAGTGCTGAAAAAACTGAATTTTGGGATAGCATTAAATAACAGTACTGTGTGATTTTATGCGATGTGCAATCTCACCTATTGGAAGTGTTTCTAAGTTAGTCAAAAGATGGAAGCAGAGGTAACAGTGTTCACAGTCTATTTTTCAAAGAATATGTGTGTTATGCAGGAAGTTGCATCACTTTTCTGACCATAAATGCACTTTAAAGTATATAGAACCCAATCCAAATCCCATAGAAGCAAATGGAATCAATTGTTTTGATTTCTCTGTTAGTTGGATCTGATACTTAGTCATAAAGCCAATAATGGAATGATTTGAGTTCTTGCAGTACTCACATGTCGTGTGTCTGCCACTGATTCATTTTGAGATATTGTGGATTTCATCGTGTATTTCCCCAATGGATATAACACATCAGGATATCCTGAGATTTCATTAGCTGATGATTGTACAGGTTGAACCACTTGTCTGGTAGGATGTTGCTGGACCAGAGAGCCCTGGCAGCTGGGAGTGACTGGCCAGCAGCAGAGCTGGGAGCCTGGCAGCCCAGGCTGGCAGACAGGTCTGCCAGCAAAGCCAGGCCAGTGGCCAGGGCCATCATCAGAGCTCTGACAGCAGCCAGAAGAGGAGCTAGACCACCAGCTAAGGGCATAGAGCACATCTGGGGGCAAGGAGTCTGGTGGCTGTGGCTGGTTGCCCAGAGGCAGGGAGCTGGCATCCGGGTTGGTAGTAGACCCTGGCTTGGGGAGCAGACCCTAGCAACCAGAACTATCAACAGACCTGGTCTGGGGTCAGAGAGCTCAGTGGCTGGGCCTAGCAGTGGAGCCTGGCAGCCAGGAAGGGAGCTTGTCTGATGGACCCTGACAGAACTGGGAGTCCATCGTCAGAGGGGCTGGAATTGATCTCCCCTTGTCTGACAAACTCAGTTATTCAGGAATGATAAAGTTCCCAAGGGTGCTGAACCAAGGAATTCCACCCTGTAAAAACACTTTGACATTCTTAGGTGAAAGGTGCTACATAAGAACCCAATTTCAAGATTAAAATTCCTGTATTCAGGAATATTGAACAGGGTGATCCACTACTTTTTCTTCAATTTCTTGCTCATGTCCATTCCACAATAGGTATGTGGGCTGGATATATGCTCTAGTGCAGTAAGATTTTCACTTAGCATTATCCATAGGGGAGCAGCTCTAGTGACCCATGGAGTGCTGCCCTATGGTGCAGTATAAGGGGTGCTGCATTCCTCCCCACCTTTAGTTCCTTGCTGCCTGTGATAATTCATCAGAACTGCTATGCATCTGTAGATCCATGACATGATGACATGATCTTCAGTTCACATGTTCACATCTCACTATGCCATTGTTCAGCAGAACTATGCTTCAGTCAACATGGCCTTGAACTCCTACTACCTCCTCCCTCCCTCCCTCCACTAGAGATAATGCTTGGAATGACCTATTGTAGAATGGACATAAGGAAGAACTCAAAGAAGAAAAGATGGTTAACTTTTTGTACTGGTGTTCTTCAAGATGTGTTGCTTATCTCCATGTCAAGTCTCTCCCTCTTTTCTCACTGTTGGAGTTTAAACCAAGAGGGAACTGAGGATGGGGAGCACACATACTACCCCTTATACCATGCCATGGAGGATCAACTTTAGAGTTTGCTAAAGAAAAAACTTCTGGCACCCTCTAGTGTAGAATGGATATGACCAACACATCTCAAAGAATACCAGTTATGAAAAGAACTTTTTTTTTTCCAAATGCAGGAGCCAAAATTTCAGCTGCACACACACTAAAGTGAATAGAAAAAAATCTCACTACACTTGTCTTATTCAGAAGTCTTTACACAAGACAAAAGATATCTTGTTTGTATTGTTTTGGAGACATGTGAATGATGCTCGGCAAAGCATCACAATTAGAAGAAAAGAAAGTGATATACTGGAACAAATGGAGAAGTGAGAAAAGATAATAAAGAACAGAATAGCTATATCATTATGGTTAATTTAAAAAATATTTTAAAACAGGCATTATCTTTTCTCCACTGATTTATTTGGAAGCTGATTGAAAACCAGTTATAACAATAATACACACCTACTGCAGTCATAATTAGAATATTCAATATCTATTCCACACTGCAGGTTTTGGCAGTACCAATGCCTGTTTCAACTGCTTTTAATTTACCTTTTTTCAGCATGACCTTTTTATTCTGCTCATCACTTTCTTTTCCTTTTAAAAATTTTCTAATCTTATTTTCTTCAAAGTGCCTCTACATCCACCTTCTTGGGTAACATGGTCTCCATCATAAGGGAGCAAACCTTAGATGAATTAGTTAAGACCTTCCCCCTCCTCTTTGCTTCTCTACAAAAGGTTAGAAATATCAAATTCATTTATAGCTTTGTCAGTTGCTGTGGAGAAAATCAGAAAGAGAACAGCTGGTGTTTTTTGAACATGCCAGCTAATCAGTGACTCTTAGATAATGGAAATCCTTGGAGAAAACAAACATTCCTATTGGTTGTTGTAGCAATTAACTCTCTTATAACTCTCCAAATGTTCTTTAATTGGCTACGTGATCTGTGACTCCCACCACTACTTGGTTCCACTGCAGATAGCCAATTAATATTCTTCATTGGCAAGTGTTCACCATTATGTCTGGGTGAAAACTGAAATGGGGATTTTACCAAACCAGAGATCAATTAAAAATTCCAAGCAAAACTGTCAAATGTTTGATTTCTAGTAAATCTTTTGAAAAACACTTAATTTTCCAAGCTTCCTTAATAGTACTGTTGTCCCCCTCCTCTGCATGGTTCTATAGACTCATGTACTAATAATAAACAAACAAACATGGAATTAGTCACCCCAAATGGAAAATTAGTTAAAAACAGAACTTTACTGGACATTGGATCTGAGCTCTTTATAAGAGAGGCCAACAACAAAAAAAGAGATTGAAAGGGAGAAATCATATTTTTTGTCCTTTTCCTAACTGATCTAAAATGAATTCAACCAGGAAAACAAAATAAAATATTACTTGACTCTGAATCTGCGGGTGAAATAGGAACCTTTGGGACAATGAGAGAGAGAGGTTTGGTTGAATGCAAAAGTCAAGTCACTAGACTCGACTTTCCATTTTCATGCATGTTTGACTTGCTTGTTTAAAGATTATTTATTGCTGTTGCATTTTCTTTCCTCTTTGTAAATGATAAATGAATGTCAAGCCTTTGCATCTTGAAATTAAACTCACTTTGCTGTTAGTGGACTGCCAAAATTGTATCTGATTTGAGATGTGTTTAACTTGTTGAATTTAACTTAACATGAGGCCAGGAAGATATTCCCCAATGCATCTTCCTCCTACTTCCTATGTTGAGAATAATCCAAATGAACAGGATGATAAAAAGGGCTCTAAAAGCGATCCCAGCAATTACAGAGCAGTAAGTCTCACGTCAGTACCGAGCAAATTAGTTGAAACAATAGTAAAGAATAAAATTGTCTAACACAGAGAAGAACATCATTTGTTGGGCAAAAGTCAATGTAGTTTCTGTAAAGGTAAATCTTGTCTTATTAATCTATTAGAGTTCTTTGAAGGGGTCAACAAATGTGGAGAAGGGGGATCCAGTAGATATAGTATACTTAGATTTCCAGAAAGCCTTTCACAAAGTCCCTCACCAAAGGCTCATACGTAAATTAAGTTGTCATGGGATAAGAGGAAAGATCCTTTCATGGATTGAGAACTGGTTAAAAGACAGGAAACAAAGGGCAGGCATAAATGGTAAGTTTTCAGAATGGAGAGGGGTAACTAGTGGGGTCCCCCAAGAATCAGTCCTAGGACGAATCCTATTCAACTTATTCATAAATCATCTGGAGAAATTGCTAAACAGTGAGGTGTCAAAGTTTGCAGACAATACTAACATGCTCAAGATAGTTAACACCAAAGAAGACTGAAGAACTTCAAAAAGATCTAACAAAACTTAGTGATTGGGCAACAAAATTGAGTCATCATGCATTGTTCTCTGAAGACCTCCATGCAGTGTACAGCAGCAGTCAAAAAAGCAAACAAGATGTTAGGAATCATTAAAAAAGGGATAGAGAATAAGACAGAGAATATCTTATTGCCCTTATATAAATCCATGGTACGCCCACATCTTGAATACTGCATACAGATATGGTCTCTTCATTTCAAAAAAGATATACGGGAATTAGAAAAGGTTCAGAGAAGGGCGACTAAAATGATTAGGGGTTTGGAATGAGTCCCATATGAGGAGAAATTAAAGAGACTAGGACTTTTCAGCTTGGAAAAGAGGGGACTAAGGAGGGACATGATGGAGGAATGTAAAATCATGAGTGGTGTGGAGAAAGTGAATAAGGAAAAGTTATTTACTTGTTCCCATAATATAAGAACTAGAGGCAACCAAATGAAATTAATAGGCAACAGGTCTAAACAAATAAAAGGAAGTTCTTCACACAGCGCACAGTCAACCTGTGGAACTCCTTGCTTGAGGAGGTTGTGAAGACTAGGACTATAACAGAGTTTAAAAGAGAACTATATAAATTCTGGATGTTAAGTCCATTAATGGCTATTAGCCAGGATGTATAAGGAATGGTGTCCCTAGCCTCTCTTTGTCAGAGCATGGAGATGGATGGCAGGAGAGAGATCGCTTGATCATTACCTGTTCGGTTCACTTCCTCTGGGGCACCAAGCATTGGCCACTGTTGGCAGACAGGGTTCGGGGCTGGATGGACCGTTGGTCTGACCTAGTATGGCCATTCTTATGTTCTTATTGGTAACTACTAATGACATATGAGCAAATCACTCTCTCTTTGTGATACCTTTCTATGAATTAGTGTCAGGTACAAACTTATGGAATACATTCTTCAGTCTGATTAGTTTAGATGAGTTGTGTTTCTTAGAGAATGACTAGTTTAC